TGGAGTCTTTGATGGAATTGAAGAAAGATAGCTATGCCGGGTGGTGGTGGCACATGCCTTTAATCTGAGCACTCAGGAGGCAGAGGCAGGTGGATCTTTGTGAGTTCAAGGCCAACCTGGTCTACAACAGCTAGTTCCAGGACAGGCTCCAAAGCAACAGAGAAACCCTGTCTCGAAAAACCAAAAAAAAAAAAAAAAGAAAAGAAAAGAAAGATAGTTATGATTACAAATGATAAAGTAGATATCAAACTTTATACTCACAAAGATAGGGTAGATGTTAGAGTATTTTCCTTAAATTGCCTAATGCAAATGCACTAAATATACTATTATTCTTGCTTTATAACTGTTTTATTATATGCAATTTTTCTATGATGAAGTTAAAATCTTCCTTTTTATTTGGACAGAAAAAAGGGAAATGGTATAGGAAGTCCACCTCCATATGTATTGCTTTTATTGGTTAATGAATAAAGAAGCTTCTTGGGCCTATGACAGGGAAGAATAGAGCAAGGTTGGAATTCCAAGCAGGGGTAGAGGAGAAAAATAAGGTGGAGTCAGGGAGATGCCATGTAGCTGCCAAAGGAGATAGACAACCCAAAACCTTACTGGTAAACCATGAACCTTGTGACAAGACAAAAAAAATAATAGGTACAAGTTAATTTAAGATGTAAGAGTTAGTTACATCTTAACTAACTCTTCATAAGAAGCCTGAGCTAATAGTCCAAACATTGTTAAAATTAATATAGTTTCTGTGTTATTACTCGGGTCTGAGAGGCCAGAAGAGAGGCAAGCAGTCTCTGCCTACACCTATCCAGTGTTCTGACACATCCTGTAATCTGCTGTATCATTGCTGACTGTGCACAGTTGTGTATACACAGCAAATGACTAACTTTCCTTGCAGATGACTAGATCTCTTGTAGCTGAAATTTTCCGTTCACTGAATAGCAACTCCTCATTTATTCCTTTCCACAAAACTATGAAGCTGCTGTTTTTTAATATCTGTAAATTTGATTACTCTAGGTACATATAAAGAGTCTCTATAGGATTGTCTTCTCTTGTATAGCATAATACTCTGCTTATTGAAATTGACATTCAACACAATTTCCTCTTAGACTCTAAATATTATACAATTGTGTTGATTATGTTTCTTTATTCATCTCTCAATAAATATTCAGTTTGTTTTCATAACATATTAAATTGATAGCATCCCTATACTATATTAAAAAGAGGGAAATACTCTTAAACAATATTCTTAGCTTCATGAATTGTTGATCAATTTATATAGCTCATATAAGTAGTTTATTTGTTTTATATTATGTGTCATACAAATTTAATTGATATCATAACAAGAAGCAAAAATATAAATTTGGTGATATTAAGCATTTTGCAATAAATTTTGTAATTTTGTAAAGCATTTTGTAATAAATATTGCACAAGATTCTGAATGTTCTATTTTTTCTAATTGTTTTAAAATAAAACTAGAAATGAGATTCCATACACAATTTAAATATCAATTAAATCTTTAAATTATACTTTTTCCAGGAGCTATTAAATTAACTCTATTTTTATATTTATAAAAGTAAATATTTATATATACTTCTATATTAATATACACTGAGATTTCCAAAGGTTATTATAGTCAATACATGTATATATGGTTTTCTTTTTAAAAATATTTGCAAAACATATCTCTAAGTTCTCATACATTTTCTAAATGGTTGTGTTTGACCTAAGTAACACTAAGATTTCCATTTCTAACAATTATGGATTTTATGAGTGTATAAGAATGAATTTAAGTGTCAGGATCCAGCCTAGACAGGTTTGTACATTCCAGGATAGGGGCATGTGGATTAGAATTGTTAGGTAGAAAAAAACAGAGATAAAAGAAAAAGACAGAGACACAGAAGAGAGTTGGAAGAGCAACTCAGTGAATACTGAATTTGCTCATGTTTATTTTCCATATGCTTTATCTACATCAATCTAAAAGAGGGGAAGAAGGCAAGACTGCTTTAACATGATACAAAGAACAAATAGAGTAATTATCTCTTCAATACCCTAAACATCATATAACTGTATCTTGAGTTAAATATTCTGCTTTTTAGATGGGACATGCAGTGACCACACCCTTGGCCAAGCATCCTGTAGGCAGTCATATCCTTGATCAAATCCCCTGTCATAACCTTGAAGGAGCAAGAATAGGCCTGAAGTCTCTGATATTTGGCCAAGGTAGAACAGATCCACATTTATGGGCTCCGACACCTGAGGCATCTAAAATTGATACAATGCTTTTGTAAATACCCCAGATTACTTGATGTTTGTCAGTACCAGGCTTCTCTTCAGAATGGTCATGAAGGCTGAGTAACTTAGAAAATTAATGTGTATCTGTGGTCCAATTTCTGCCAATTCTAATACTTGTCACTGTGAATAGTCCACCAAATTTCCAGTAATATTTTTTTAAAATATTTTATTTATTATATAGATAGTATTATTCTGCCTGCATGTGTATCTGCATGCCAAAAGAGGGCACCAAATCTCATTACAGATGGTTGTAAACCACTATGCGGTTGCTGGGAATTGAACTCAGGACCTTTGGAAGAGCAGGAAATGTTCTTAACCTCTGAGCCATCTCTCCAGCCCCCTCTAGTAATATTTTTGTATGAAGTTTTCACTTACTAATCATATATGTTTCTTATAAGCATCTGTGGTGGGTTGGGCTGATGGTCTGATTCAGCTAACATATTTAAAATAAATAATAAGTTGTTTGAAAACATAATATTTTCAACCCATATTTTCCAGGATAGATCTTATCCCTTTCTATTTTCTGAATGAAAGTGCTGTTGACTTTGAGTACAAAAAGGATAAAGGAGATTCTTTCCTTATTTCATCAATAACTATTTTAAATGCATCTTCTGTTTCCTACGGAATTATGTGACAAGAATAGCATTTTACTAACTCATGGAAAGACTATTTAAGCTGCATCAAAAGACATCTTCATTAACTAAAAATACCAGACACCCAATGCTTTGAGCTTAGTTAATCTATCTGGCTGGAAGAACACTGCTGCAAAGTGGACAAGGTAATGAAAGATGTCCTTGACTTTTGTTGTTGTTTGGGAGAAGCCCACATTCAGTTCCAAAGTAAGCAAAATTGACTATACATATTAATGAATAATTGTCTTCATAAATTTATTAGGATGTATAAAAATAACCACATGTACATCTCTGAAGATATTATTCCAACTATTTCCTATTTCCTATTTCTTTCACCCTTCAGCACATGTAGCAGCTAATTTTGGGTATTGTCCTGTGATGGTTGTTGTATCCAGTTGCCAAAGAGTCAAATGTCCTCAGAGATATTCTTGGAGGCCTCTGACAAATATAATATAGAAACATAGTACACTAGATCTAAAGAGCTGTTTAAATGATGTGAAAGGACATTTAACTGAATGCTTTTAAAACTGTTTCAGAAATTAAAGGATAAAGCAAACAGTGATAGAGTACACTGGTATAACACACCATACATTCCAGAAAGTTCAATTTAATTTTAAATTATTATACTTCATTTTTATTTCAACCATACTAAATTCAGACTGAATTGAGAGTAGATCTAAGTTACCTCTTGAAAATGTTGATATGGGGTAAGGACCATACTAATATTTGAGTATAAATACAAATGCTTAGAATGTAGCTAGCAGCAATACTGGCTTAGTAAAATGGTAGTGATAAGCTTTCTGTCAAGATCCATGACTCATTCACCCTGGGGGTTCACTAAGTAGTAGTTATGATTTCACTGTTGTTGAGCAGGCCTATGTCTAACTAGAAAGATGTTAATTACATCCAAGTTCCATGTGTCACTCTGCTCCTGTAGGAGTATCAAGACACGCTGTTCATTGTTATGGTTCATAGACATCATAGCTGGGCATAGTCTTCCCCACGAAAGAACATACAGATTGATTATCTAATACTAACTTGGTGCAGGAGAATTATCTGTATTCTGTCAATCATGTATTTTATTAAAATGCTGATTGGCCAGGCAGGAAGTATAGGCGGGAAAACCAGACAGGAAGTAGAGGTGATACAATGAGAACAGGAGAATTCTGGGAAGCAGGGGGGTTCCTCTGCCACTCCTGCCCAGATCACCGAAAAGGCAACATGTGAGCTGCCACGCTGAGAAAGGTACTGAGCCATGCAGCTAATATAGATAATGATAATGGATTAATATAAGTTACAAGGACTAATAAGAAGCCTGACCTAATGGGCCAATCAGCTTATGACCTTATGGAGTCCTGTGTGTGATTTTTATTGGGGCTTGCTGGCTGTGGGGTACTGGGCGGGAACAGATACCCCAACAAGCCGGCCCTCATGTTACACTAACTGATAATCCCTAAAAACGTACCTAGACATAACTTTATACAGTCTGAGCAGATTGTATTTAGGAACATATATGTATGTAACAACAACAAATGTAAAAAAGAGGCCATGAATAAGAAACAAAGCAGGGAGGAGCTGTACAAGGAAGTGTTTGGAGGAAAGAAAGGGAGTGGGGAAGTGACATAACTATAATATCAAAAATTAAAAGAAATAACAAGGCTATTTTTCTCAAAAGTGTTTATCAAAATTAAAATATTTGATTCGATCAAAGCAAAACATGTTGATAACCATCTTCTAATCTTAAACTCTGAAGCTCTGTCAGCATTCTTATAACTGGCACTGTTCTGCTGTTTTTAGATACCATACAATGCATCTGAAAACAATATTACCTACATTTTCACTGCATCTGAAAATTCTGATAGAAAGTTAAAACGAAGAAGATTGAAAGCACTCCATATTTGTCAAAGTGCTTTGAGGCAAATTAGTGAAAAACAAAGAGGATTGTTTTTTGTAAAAACAAAAAAACTGCATTTCTTTTTAAGGATTTGATATGTGTAAGCCATATTTAGAACCTTGGTGACTAATTTTCATATTTTGGCTGCCTTTGCTTTATTAGGAGAAGAAAGTCTAAATCTCAGAACTCCTAACTTGTCTCCCTGCCTTTATTGAATCCCTCAGTGAAAAGAATGGCTTGAGGTGCCTGTTTCTTCTGAGTGCAAGAGGTAAGTCTTTTGTTCATTTGTTTGTTTGTTTGTTAAGGTAGACATCAATTTCATAACTCAAGCATTCCATCTAGTGCAGAGTGTAAGTATTTACATTTTCTCATCTTCACATACGGAAGGACAGACATACATCTCTCTGGAAGTGTCTGGAGCCAAGTGAATACACAGAGTCAGGGATGCAGCCAGCCATGACAATGTCCAGATAGAGCGGTATGAGAAATGAATATTATGTGTGAAGTATCCTGATAAAGAATCAGCATCTATGAGGTTTGTCTGAAAAAATTCCCAAACTCGTTCTAACAAGAACTGTCTGTTCTACTTTACACTTAGCTTGTGAAGGTTTAAAATGAAAATTGAGGCTGTTTATTATTTTAGATTTTATTGCTGACAGAATTATAAGTTGGTTGCTATGCCAATATAGCATGTGGTGGCTGTTGAAATTGTTTGATGTGAGGGTTCTTAATTTTCTTAATAAACTTCTCTGCCTTGTGGGATAAGTTGGCTATTATTTATATTGTTCTTGGATGGTTAGAAACTTTGATATGATTCATCTGGAGAAGATCTTACTTTATAGAGATCCCCTAAGAAGAAAAAGAAAGACATGGAGCAAAATATAAGCCATTGAATTGAAGAAAAAGTAACTGCATATCTCAGAGAATAAGAAGAGGGAGAATGGATTACATGAAACCTTTTAAATCTCAGCTTTTCAAAGTATTAGTGATCGTACATGAGCCATTTGTCAAATGGGTAACATCCCAAGGACAAAAGTATGTCTATGTAGTTTTACTCCTAATGCTAGAGTTACCTATAATAAATGGGAGCCTTGAGCAGATCAATAGGAATAATTCTTTTGTACTTCCTTTAGGAGGACCCGAGTTTCACAAGAGAAGGTAGGTATGTGCCTGTTTTTTCTTTTTTAAAAGAATGGCCTTGTATTTATAAGGAAGGACAAAAATGATTGATGGATCCACAGATACCCATCAAAGGATCCAACTAACGAGAACAACTAGAAGGAGATGGCCTTGTCAAGTAGCCTTAGTTTTCCTTCACTGTAAATGGCATCAGGAATGTTTATTTGGGATATGTAAGGACTGTTGACCTTGTGATAGTGCAATGTCCTTTAAAATCTTATGGACATGTAAACTCATTTTTATTATTCAACTGTGTCAAAGTAATGTGTTTTCTTTATTTCTAGAGCTGAATTTAATTTTTGACTTGCCTCTGCCTTCCTGTTATGAACTCATTAAATGAACTCACTGTAGACCTCTCTCCTTTTCCAAACATCCCTAGATGAAATCAGCCTGGATCATGTCTTTGTGTCGGCCTGTCCCTCTACTCCCCCAGACCTGACCCAACCTTGGAGGTTCACAAGTCTTTACCCTGTCAAGGAAAGGACACATTATCCTAGTTGGTTTGAGCCCATGGTGATGGGAAGGGAGAGGTCTGTTTCTCATCCTTTTCTTCTTGGCAAAAACAGTAACCAAACTTGCCTGTTGGTACATATTTGGTTCCCCAGCAACACCTTGGCATTGCCTCTGAAGTTCCAGGCTCTTAGTAGGATAGTTGCAATATGAATGTTGTATATTTTTCTTAACTCAAAACAACAACAAAAAATTATTTTTCCTTAGGATTTGGAAAGTCAGCTGGAGTCATCCATCTACAGAGTGGTAATATGAGGTCCAGGATTGTTGGTGGTTTCTGTCCTGCCCGTTTCCCACAGCTGTTTAGCCCCAAAGAAATTTACACAGAGGTCTCCATAAATTAAAAACTGATTGGCCCATTAGCTCAGGCTTCTTATTAGGTCTTATAACTTATATTAACCCATTATTCTTATCTATGTTAGCCACATGGCTCTGTACCTTTATCAGCAGGGCAGGTCACATCTTGCTTCTTCTGTGATCTGGGCAGGACTGCAGAAAGAGCTTCCTTCTTGTTCTCATTACCACACCTCTACTTTCTGTCTGGTTTTCCCGCCTATACTTCCTGCCTGGCTACTGGCCAATCTGCATTTATTTAAAGTATAATTGACAGAATATAGAATTGTCCTGCACCACAGGGCAATCACACCTGCCTTCGGGGAAATAGGATCCAGAAGCAAACTGGAGTCTGCTCTGCTTGTGGTAGATGCCAAAACACCAGGAGACTGGAAACACATTGTCTCTGACCCACTCACAGACCTTCCCACATTTTACTACTAAACAAGTCAAAATCCATCTTAAGGACTGGGAAGATGGCTCTGAGTAAAGTGTTTACATTATAGACAGGAAGACCTGAGTTCATGTGCCAGAACATTAAAAAAATTCTGTGGGGTATTACCTAATGTAATCCCATTGCTGGAGATGTAGAAACAGGAAGATTCTTGGCTCTCTAGACAAATAGGCTGACCATAGAGCAATTTACAGGCCAATGAGAAAAACTGTCTTGAAATTAAATTGGCAGAATTCTTGAAGAAAGACTTAAAGCTGTCCTCTGGCATCTGCTCCACACACAAACATGGGCCACACACATAAAAACAAACAAACAAAAACTGAAATATTGTTGCAATGTCCACAGGGCTTCTTGAGAAATTTGGCAAGGGGTGTTAGGACAAGACAAACAATAAAATGTAATTAATCTCTGTCTATAAAACTCTTGAAATTCATATCCAAATATAAATAAAACCAAGGATCATATATATTACATGATACATCAATACACCATTTTTCTTAAAAATAAGATAGGTAGTAGATATTGGTAGGGCTCTTTGCCCAACAGTGATAGATATATACTCCACTAAGTATTCTAATCCAAACATTTTCAGACACATGGAGTGGTGGTGAAATACAAATTCACTATGTGTGTGTATCATTATGTGCTCAAACATGCACAGTGAGGTCTGTGTGTTTACAGGAAGAACCACCTCATTTGTCCTATGTGAGGCAATGGGTCTCTCTCTGAGTCTGAAGCATGTTAGTTTAGCTAGACTGTACATCAAGTTTTCTCCATCCCTAGTATGAGAATCATTAACCTACACAATTGCACAAAGCTTTTTAACTATGGGTTTTGAAGGTTGAACTCAAATCACCATGTTTATGTGGCAAGCACTTTATCTATTAAACTATACCGCCAGCCCATGGGTTCATATTGAAATTAATAATCAAAAAGAGCAGAGAGGGTTTTCACTGTAATATCATCTATCTGTCTTCCTCTGCTCACAGATTTTGTTCCAGGACTAGGAAATCAAATGTGGTTTCTTTCTTTCTTATATAGTATTTAATCTACACAATGCCTTTGTAACACTGTACAACACATCATAGTTCATAGCAGATTGTTCCTTTTTCAATTTCAACTTTAGTATTTAGAAAATTTCCTTCCATGATATTAATATATTTTGCTTGCATTTCTGCTTTTCAAAGTGTATGCATAAAACTATATTCAAGAGAAGAAGATAAGAATCATTTCTTATCCTTATAGTACCTAAAATCCTTCCACTAAGAAACTATACACACTTCACTTATTTGTATATTGTTATTCAATTTTTTAAATGTTTCTAAACTGTTAAAGTGTGTTGGAAACACTGGATATTCTACCATGATCAAGATAGTAGCACATATTTTTTCATTTTCTTAAATTAAATATTTTCTTCCAGTGATAGTAAGAATTTAAAAATGTATAACTATTACATACTTAAAATTAGGAAATTATCAAAATTAACTTCAGCTAGCATAAGAAATTTACTATTGAATTATTAAAATATCTGTTATAATTAAAGTATCATACAATATACAAAACAATGTACAATGTACGGAAGGGAGTTCCTTGTGTTCTTTTTTTCATTTTTATCAAGCTATACATTTTTGTCTTCTCCCTGCCATTCCTCCCCCTCCCCTTCTATCCTCTCCCATGACTCCCATGCTCCCAATTTACTCAGGAAATCTTGTCTTTTTCTCCTTCCTATGTAGATCCATGTACCACATTTTCTTAATCCATTCTTTGGTGGAGGGGCACTTAGGTTATTTTCAGGTTCTGGGTTTATGAATAATGCTGCTATGAATGTAATTGAGCACATGTCCTTGTGGTAAGATTGAGTATCATTTGGGTATATGCCCAAAGTGGTATTTCTGGGTCTTGAGATAGGTTGTTTCCTAACTTTCTGGGAAATCACCATTCTTGTTGCACCAGTGAGCATTGTATATGAAATACTGTGAGATATTAATAGGAGAATATGTTCAGGTTCTAGTAAATTTACCAAATAATATAAATACTCCTATTTACATAGCTTTTTTTAGTTCATTCATTATGCTTCACTCCCCAAAAAACAATTATAGGTGTTTAAGATCTTCTCAGTAATTATATTTGTAAATAATAATAATAATAATAATAATAATAATAATGCCACTTATATCCCATTTTAAAAGTACTTTTATTGAGAGTTTACCCTTGTGTTAGAGATCCCATTGTTAAGGAACATCCTAAATTTTTACTTGAAACAATATGATTTCCCATACTATGTGTTCATTATTTTTACTGTGCATAGGAAAGACATGGACGTCAAAACCCATGCAGCACTTAGTAGCCTCCAGTTCTAGGATCTGGGCTTTGCTTTCTGCTTCATCAGTAGTTGGCAGGGAACCAATTATGAAGGCATACATGAAAAAGACCAGTAATATAATCTCACTTCTCAAACTGTTTTGGTTTTTGTCAAGTAGAGTAGAAGCAACAATTACCAATAAAATCTTTTTAATGTCTTGTGAAGGACAGAAGACGTTATGGAGGTAGCCAGCAATGATAGGCAGTCAGTGTGTTTAATTTACACTATGAAAATTGTGTGAAGGATATTATGGACAACTTAAAGAGTTTTTTTTTCTTATGCTATAGAGTTGGCCACAGATCAACATATTTTTTTTTCAACCTCTAAGTGTTTGATCAAAATACATTTCCCTGAAAGGCATCAAGTTAACTCTTTGTAATTGTAGTGATTGACAGACAAAAATTCTTGTATCAGCCAAAAGCAGCAAATTTCAGAGAAGTATACATTTTTAAAGGACCAATAAAGCCAGTAGCAGATGTAGTTTCCTGATCAGCTTCTCTCATGCACTTTTATAAATCATGCCTCAAATGTTAGACCCATAGCTCTTGATTCTTACCCAATAAATGCATTTGTTACTAAAGTTCTCCATAAATAAAATTCATTGTCTAGATTTTCATGATGTGTTCCAAATTGTATAAAATATATTTCTAAATATTGTTGCAAAAACAAGCAATTGGTCTGGTTGTTATGATTCCAGAAACGAGGAGTAATGAGTTTTAAAAAAATGTAAAATTGTGGGAAAAATCTCAGAAAAGAGATTAGCTACAGAAACAATGATCTCCAAAGTCTAATTAGAAAATCTGAAATTCAAATAAACCTGAGAATGCACAAATGAATGTAACAATAATCAAACAAGTCCGATAAACCTAAAGTTAAAAGAATTAAAATGCAAACAAGTATTCACTGCAGGGAGAGTACTTGAATTTTGAGTCTAGGTAAGAAGATCTTATCAATGTTATTAAGATTCTAGATGTGATATGATAGAAAATGATGATCGTTCAGTTTATAATTATTGAGGTAAACTTGAGAGTAATATGTTATAATAAATCATAGAGCAGAATATTAAATAAAGTTTATCAGACAGAATTGAATCAATATACAAAAGTATTAACACTTTATAAATAAACAATAGAATCAAGATTATCCATAAACTATGTTTGGCTCTGAATTTTATACAAGAAGAAATGTTGCACCCCTAGAACATGAGTCAATGTCAATAGATCCTGAAATGATGTAAAAATATTGTCTTTAGTTATTAAGCAATTTGAAGTAGATATTACATTATTACGTGATGATGCAAGGAAAATTAGAGTCATAATT